GACAGAAGCAGGATCATAACACCCGCATCTGAGACCACCTGCGCCGCGCAGCGCGCTGGGGGGGGGTTACGGTGCGCAGCGCTGCGCTGTGTCTTCTGAATAAATGAAAATGATTTAACACAGTTATTTATACTTTTAGCAGCTCTTTTTATCCCACAGCTGACCTGCTAAAAATGAGAGATTTTCTTGTCTGGATCTCTGACAGACGGACTTCAATCTCTGAACTTGTAAAGTTTTTCTTTTAAGTTTTCGCTGCCATTTTCATGAATGGACATTTCCTGATATCTGAGGTAGGAAACATAGCCTTATATGGTGTTATATGGTATGTGACTGAGCTGACTCGGGTAAATCAGCTCTGTGTTTTTGTGAGTCTAGAATAAGTTGTGGATGTAACAGCAGCTGATTTTGCCTGAATTTATGGTGTTTTGAGTCAACAAACGACTCTGGTTACTTTTTTGAATGATGAGGGTCATTAAAGTTGCTGGTAGCTGGGTTGCTGATGAATGCTATTTTTATAACATGCATGAGACCCCCAGACCCAGTTGCAAGAGGGATCAGTGCGTGTATTGTGTTCTGTGTTGGTGATTCTTGCTGTACATTATGAACATAACCACGCCATGGCCTGTTGCAGATGCCTTGCAAAAATAAAAAGTAGCTTGCAAAGCTTGTAAATGTTAAGTGGACTGTACTTATACAGTGCCTTTCGATCCAACCACAATGCTCAAAGATCTACAATCTCTGTTTGTCTACAATCTTTGCTTATTTACACAGCACTCTGCCAGATCTCTACAAAGCTAACATGTACAAATCATTCTATAAAGACAAATCAGAGTTAATTACATTCATACACTGACGTGACACTGTTCAGAGGCATTGGGGTGAAGTGTCTTGCCCAAGGACACAACTGACACAGTTGGAATGGGGCATCAAACTGGCAACCGACGTATAATGGCATTAGCTGTACTATAACTGCAGTAACTGTACTATTAGTGCAATATAACTGCACTATAACCACAGTAGTTATACTAAAACTTCACTATAACTGCAGTAACTGTACTATAACTGCACTATAACTCCAGTAACTGTACTGTATACCTTCAGTAGCTGTTATATAGCTGCAGTTGTTATACTATAACTGTACTATAACTGCAGTAACTGTACTATAACTGCAGTAGTTGTGCAATAATTGCAGTAACTGTTCTATGCCTACAATAATTGGAACTGTGACTCCATTACCTGGGCTTTAATTCTTAGGTGTGTTTATATGCAGAATTGTGTCTAAATTTATCTGTTAGATCAATCTTTCTGAAAGTGAACGTTTGTCCTTAGCTTCAAGGACTGGATTTGATTGGTTCTACTGGGAGTGTAACCAGTGTTACATAACAGGCTGAAATGACAGCATGCAGGTTTCTGTCCTCTTCTAAGTTTTCCCTCTCAACAGAAACATTTCCCTGCTTGCCATGGCGACAGTGCATACAGCATATCTGTGGTTTCTGATCTGGAAAATGATGTAATCCGTCACTACACCGGAGCCGGTGTTTCTGACACCAGAGTGAGTGGGGTTTAATATGTTGTGCTGAGTCACCTTATTTGATTGCAGATGGACTCTCCAGTCCCAGTATTCCCAGTCTGAAGCTTTTTTCTGGTTTTGGGAGATGAGCAGATGATTCATGACCTGCTCTCTTAAAAGCTGACTACAAATCTTCATTAGATCATTCACGGATGGCAGGATGGGAAGTACCTCACTCTCCTGAGCTAGTAAAAGACTGTTAACAGGTCATCTAGGAAACTGTTGACTCACGTTACAGTACGAAATGAAATGGTCCATTGATGGGGAGTGGTTGGGTTTGAAAGGTTAGAACATGTAATTAATGTTTAATGAAACGTAGTGCACTGCTCTGGCTCTAGAACCAGTCTCCTCGAGAGGGGTTGGATACTCTTCCACTCTGGATTTGCCCATGCTGAGAGGCGCCGAGCAGGAGTGGGCATACTTATTGTCCCCATCTCGGTGCCTGTACGTTGGGGTTCACCACGGTGAATGAGAGGGTAGCCTCCCTCCGCCTACGTGTGGGGGGACGGGTCCTGACTGTTGTTTGTGTCTATGCAACTAACAGCAGTTCAGATTACCCACCCTTTTTGGAGTCCTTGAAGGGGGTGCTGGAGGGCGCTCCTAACGGGGACTCCCTCGTTCTGCTGGGGTACTTCAACGCTCACGTGAGCAACGACAGTGAGACCTGGAGAGGTGTGGTTGGGAGGAACCCCCACCCCGATCTAAACCCGAGCAGTGTTTTGTTATTGGACTTCTGTGCTCGTCATGGATTGTCCATAACAAACACCATGTTCAAGCATAAGGGTGTCCATATGTGCTCTTGGCACCAGGACACCCTAGGCCACAGCTCGATGATTGACTTTGTTGTCATTTCATCTGATCTACGGACGCAGTTTTTTGACACTCGGGTGAAGAGAGGGGCGGAGCTGTCAACTGACCACTACCTGGTGGTGAGTTGGCTCCGATGGTGGGGAAAGATGCTGGTCAGACTTGGCAGACCCAAACTTATAGTCTCTGGGTCTTCTGGAAGCAAGCAAGCTAAGCTATCTAAAACCAGTAAAACATCAACCTTTAACATTAGACCATTTCGTAGTTATAAATGATCAAAAATGCACATAGCGAAGCCTAGCTCCTCCAGGTTACAGGTCAACTGTACACTGTAGGATCAAACCTGGTATATCCATGATTTTTTTAACCTCACGTGTGGGCTCTATCAGTCTTTGAAAATAGGCCGACTGTTTTTAAATCTTGTAATGTGACTCAGCCTTAACACTGACAAGCTCTCTCTCTCTCTCTCTCTCTCTCTCTCTCTCTCTCTCTC